ATTGCTTTTTCAGTTTATCCACATGGAGGTTCGTTTGGTGGATGAATATATTAAATAAATATAGCGATGATTTAAGTGTAAAGGAAAACTTGATGTTTTATTAAAAGTAGACTAACTACTACAAATACTTAATAGTAGAGACTTAGTCTACGCAAAGACCGCGCATCTCGCAGAGAGTAGATATGTAAGCGTGCCGGCAGTTCTAGCGTGAGTGACGGTTCACTCGTCATACCTCAGCGAAGACGCTTCCCTTGGGCATTGGGGGAAGGTAAGTCCCACCCACGAAGTCCGTGAAAAGGGTAGCTGAGGACCAACGGGAAAGCAGGGTGATGAGACGTGTTTTGTCGCTAATAACAAGGGATTAGCGAGAGCGCAAAGCAATTTTTAAAAATCGAAATTCGGCGCGGCAGTTAAGCGGCAGCCGCGCGACAGCTGAACTAAATTATTTTATTGATGCTGGGGAAAAACTGAAAGTTTTAACCAAGTAGATCAACAGATAAAGCACGTCCGCCACACGCATTTAAACAATGGGACGATAAAGTCAAAACTGATTCACAGTTCATACATTATTATGAGTATTAATCTAAATCACGAAGAAAATGTAATTCGTATATGCATCTATAAGTGCGAAAGACTATTTAAGAGCAATAATTTTTTGTGAAGCGAGATGTTCATTCGCCGTTTTTAAAAATTATCATGCACTGATACTTTATTTCGTAGTACGAATGTATACAATTCCTCACGTATTTTTCAGTTAAATTTTCCTTTAATAGCCTTAAGATTGTGGGCACGTAGAAGAGAAAAAACAAAATAGAACAAATGCAATCATAAAAGATCAAAATATAAACATAAATATTACTTTTTGTAAATAATATGCTTAAATTACACAGGCACACAAAAAAAACCAAGTCTCTGATATTTGAACGCGACACATATATTCCCATCTAATTTGATCCTCTGATCACGAATCCGCGGTCCAATTGACCCCATGACGTCTGGGTCAAGGGCATTTGAAGGTCAAAATTGAACACACACATTTGAGTTGAAAAAAATGACTAATCTTTATGTTTTTTGGGTCGCTGAATAATAATTCGAGGTCGGTTTGACCTCAAGTAGTAAAGGTCAAGGTCATTTGAAGGTCAAACGTGTTTATTTTAGAAATAATGCATTTTTTACTGCAGATTCTGAAAGAACGAAAAATTTTACGTCCAAAACTGTATTTTTTTTATTTTTTTAATATGAGCCAAAGGTCATTTCAAGGTCATTATAAATGGTGATGTGGGGAATTAATTTGATGAATGCAGAAATACGAAAATATGGTTCCCTTCACCTAAACTATTGCGGTAATATACGAGGTGTGATCAAAAAGTAAGGTGAATTTTTATTTTTCTCAAAAAATATTTATTTATTCATCAATTTTTCTTTTATCTCCTTCAAAGAAATCCCCCTCGGATATAATGCACTTGTGCCAACGCTTTTTCTAATCCTCAAAGCATTTCAAAAAATCATTTTTTGTGATCTTGTTTAGTTCATCCTTCGATGCCGTCTTTATCTCCTCAATCGTGGCAAAACGCCGTCCTTTCATGGGCCTCTTCAGTTTTGGGAACAAGAAGAAGTCACAGGGGGCCAGATCTGGAGAATACGGTGCCTGTGGCATCGTTACTGTGTTGGTTTTAGCCAAAAATTCGCGCACAAGCAACGATGTGTGAGCAGGGGCGTTATCATGGTGCAAAAGCCAATTTTTATTTTTCCACAAATTCGGACGTTTCTGGCGGATTGCTTCGCGCAAATTGCGCATAACTTGCAGGTAATATTTCTTATTTACTGTTCTACCCTGTGGCAAGAAGTCATGATGCACCACGCCCCTGCAGTCAAAGAAAACTGTAAGCAAAACCTTTACATTTGATCGAACTTGGCGTGCTTTTTTTGGTCTTGGTGATCCAGAATGCCTCCACTGGGACGATTGAGTCTTAGTCTCGACGTCATAACCGTATACCCATGTTTCGTCACCTGTTATAACCCTGTTGAGAAATCTGGATCATCGTTGACGTCATTCAGTAGCTCTTGGGCGATGCTCATGCGACGTTTCTTTTGGTCGAAATTGAATAATTTCGGAACAAACTTCGCTGACACACGTCTCACGTCGAAAACACTCGTCAAAATTGATTGGCACGAACCAAATGAGATGCCAATATCATCAGTAATTTCTCTAATGGTAATTCGACGATTTCTCAATACTATTTTCTTCACTTCTTCAACATTCTCATCAGTTGTTGATGTGCTGGGGCGTCCAGAACGAGGTTCGTCGTCGGTGTCTTCTCAGCCTTCTTGGAAGAGTTTATACCACTTGTAAACATTTTTTTGGCTTAAAGTAGACTCACCGTATGCCACTTTCAGCATTTCAAGTGTTTTGGAACATTTGATTCCATTTTTCACACAAAATTTAATGCAAACTCTTTGATCCATATTTTTAGACAGCAGCAAATCGTGGAGCACGCAAAACACTTCTAACCTTGATGCCTCTCACAAACAAACGAAACATACTACAAAGCTGAAATTTGGAACGTATGTTTTAGACGAGTGTACCGACATAACCAAATAAAAAAGTCGAAGATCGAACGGACATAGCCTGCTAAATTTCAAAATTCACCTTACTTTTTGATCACACCTCGTACTGCTGCGAATGTAAGGAATTATCTTGATGAGGTAAGTATTATAGTATACATTGTTGTTGGAAATATGTAAAAGCATCTCAACTATTTTGCGGAGGAAAGAAAAAAAGAGCAAAAATAGACGAAAAAATAAGCAATGAGGAATGGCTAAAACACTTCAAGAAGCAGCTGGGAGAAAAAGAAAAGGACTACAATAAAAAAGAAGAAAGAGAAGAATGGGAAAGGGGGAAAAAGAAGAAAGAGGGGAAATAAAAGTAAAAGAGGTAGTAGAGGTGATAAAGAGAATGAAAAAGAAAAAAGCAACAGGAGAAGATGGGATTGCAAATGAAGCGTGGATGGCTGGGACTGAAAGCCTAATAAATGACCTGACAAAATGTCTAAATAGAGTATGGAACGGAGAGGATACCCGAAGGAATGGAGAAAGGGAATAATAATACCAGTATACAAGAAAGAAAAAAAAGAAGAAGTAAGCAATTATAGGGGTATAACGCTGATGGACACAGGATATAAGATATTTGCAGAAATAGTAAGGAAAAGACTAGATAGAGAGATAGAAGAAAAAGGAATACTAAGCGATACGCAAATGGGATTCAGACTAAAAAGAGGAACAACAGATGCAATATATGTGCGAAAAACGGCAATAGGAAAAGAAATCAGGGAAAAAGGTGGGAAATTGTTTGTCTTCTTCGCTGATATGAAAGCAGCGTTTGACAGGATAAGAAGAAAGAAGAAATGGGAAATAATGAAGGAAAAAGAAATAGATAAAAGGATCAGAAGAAGCATAGAAGAAATATACAAGGAAACAGGATGCAGAATAAAAATTAGAGGAGAGATAATAGGGGAATTCGACACAGAAAAGGGAGTAAGGCAAGGGTGCCCGCTGAGCACCACGCTATTTAATCTTGCCTTTGCGGAGTTAGAAGAGAAAATGAGTAAAATTCAGGAAGGAGGAGTGGTAATAGGAAGAAAGAAAATTTGGACGATAGGATACGCGGATGATATAGTAATGATGGCAAAGAATGAAAATGGGATGAAAGAGATGCTGAAAAAACTAAGGATATTCTTACAGGAAAGAGGGTTGGAATTAAACGTAGAAAAGTCAAAAATGATGAAATGTAAGAAAGGAGGAGGAAGAGGAAAGGAAGAAAGTTTTGAGTGGATAGGAAAGAAAATTGAAATGGTAAAAGAATATAACTATCTGGGATACATAATAAACAAAAATAATGGGAATAAGAGACATATAAAGAAAACAGAAGGTAAAATAAATATGGGAATAGGAAAAGTATGGGGGTTGGGAGAAAGATTATTCAAAGAAAATTGGAAGCTAAGGATGATGTTATTTGACGCGTTAGTGAAAAGCGTGATAATGTATGGAGCAGAAATATGGGGGTGGAAAAGATACGAGGAAATAGAAAGACTATTAATGAAATATATAAAATGGGTACTGGGTTTGGACAGAAACACACCGAGTTATCTGATAAAATGGGAAACAGGAAGAAAAGAAATAAAAAAAAAGCAATGGAGAGAGCGATGAGATATGAAAATAAAATTAAAGAAGAGGGGGATGGAACAAAAAAGAAAGAAGCATGGAGAGAAATGATGAGAAACGAAAGGAAAAGAGAAGAAAGAAATGAAAAAAAAGGAGAGAGAGAAGAAAGACTAGGGGAAAGTAAAAAATACAGAGAGAGAGAAGAAGGAGACGATGAGAGAGAAGAGTTCTGGGAAGAAGTAAGAGAAGAATTGAGGAAAAAAGAAGAAAAAGAAATGGAAGATAAGTTGGAAGAATTAAGATATATAAGAGAGTGGAAGGGGATAAAGGAGGAAATGAAGAAGTGTAGACTAAAAGAAATACAAAATGAAGGGAAAATAAGAGGCCTACAAATAAGAGAGAGGTTTAGGTTAGGGAACGAGACAAGAGGGAGTAGATACTGGGAAAAAGAAGAAAATAAGAAATGTAGAATGTGCCAAAAAGAAGAGGAAAATTGGAAACACATAGTAGAAAAATGCGAAATGACAAGAAAAGAAGGAGAAAAGTGGGAAGAAATAATAGTTGGGAGCAAAGAAAAAATAGCATGGATGAAGGAACTAAAGTGGAAAAGAAGAAGAAAAGAAGAAGAAAAAGAGAAAGAAAAAGAAAAGTGAAAAGAGAGAAGAAAGAAATTGGTAAGAGAGAATGGTAGTAAGCATGAGTGAAAGCAGAGGGAGCGGAGGATATCGCAGAAAAGGTGTAAAAGCCCTAATACGGACAGGTGAGAAGACCGGCTAGATAAGAAAGAAATTAAAAGAAAATTCATAGAGTAAAGAAGGCAAAAGAAAAGATTAACGAAAATGGATGAAATTGAAAGGAAAATAACGAAGATAGAAAGAGACAGAAGAGTAGAAAAAGAAGACCTGGAAGAATGGATGGAAATAGAAAGAAAAAAAAGAAGGGATGTGGAAAACAAGGTAAAAGAGTTGGAAAGAGAGGCTAGGAACCAGGAAATAAGACTAAGAACAATTGAGGAAAACCTAAAAGAAAGCGGAAAAGAAAGAGATGAGAAAGGAGCAGAAGAGAAAGTAGAGAGAAAAAAAGAGAAAAACAAAAGAAAAAAATGGAAAATGGAAAGTGAAAGTGACGAATCACCAGGAGAAGAATGGGACGAGTGGACAAAAAGAATACTGGTAGTGAAAAAGGGACCAAAATGGGAAGAAGGTGCAAAAATAGAAGAATGGTTTGAAAATGTTCATAAAGTGAAAGTGAATCACGTAATGGAATTGGGAGAAAGGCTGAAAGTAGAGTTTAATAGCAGAGAAGACAGAGACAAGATATGGGACTTGGAAAGAGAAATATATAGAGAAGGAAAAATGAGCTTAGACGAGTGGCTGTCCTTTGAAGAAAGAAAAGAGAGGGACGAAATAGTAAGGGCAGCAAAGAAGGTCCTCAGTGCTTGCCAGGAAGCAGGAGTAGTAATGGACATCGTGGTAGAAAACAGAAGGATGATTATAAATGGGAGGACTTACAGAAAGAGGGGAGGTAAGTATAGGAGGGAAAGAGAAAGAAAGAGGATGGGATAGAAGATGGAATGAAAGAGTGAGAAGAAGACGAAAAAAGGAAGGCAAATGGAAAAGAAGATGAGAAGGAAATACAAAATACACTAACACAAACAAAAACACAATCACACACATATACAACATAATCACACAAAACACAAAGAAAAAAAAAGAATCAAGGCACGTCACACAATAATAATGAAATGTACTTTGTAAGAAACTAAAGTTGTAACATTTAAGTTGAATAAATTTATATATATATATAAATATAAAAGTCGTTCTAGGACAGATAGCCTTATGAAAATTTTCTACTTTGTATCATACTTGACGAGTTTTATTTCCGTCGCTCAAAGATTCTCAAATCTCAATTAAAATCCGCTATCCTCCTCTTTCCCTTTTATTTCAACTCTACTTTGAATATAAAATTTTTTAATCTCTACGTATGCTGCCAGTATTTTGATTACTTGTACTACTTCAGTCTACAGAAGTTTTAAAACCAACACGACTTCATTAGTATACTTCGGGGAGCATGTGAGAGTGCATTCACAGTACAGCGCTAGAAACCAAATATGTATATGTCTGTACATGCACCTGCATGTACAACTGTCAGCTAGAAAAATTATTGGTTTCATTTACAGATTTTACGCAGGTATATTAAAATCGCTTATAAAATATTTTAATTCTTCAAGGTATATGGCGGCCATTGGATAGGCAATAATGGTCCAGTACGGTGGCCAGCAAAATCTCCTGATTTGAACCCATTTGACTACTTTTACTGGGGGACATCCAAAGAAGCAGTTTATCACAATGGCGGCCTCAATGACCCAAATGACATGATACAAAGAATCCAACATCATGCCCAGCATCTAGAACCCGAAAAAATACATGCAGCTACACATCAGATAAGACGTAGAGCTATTTTGTGTATTCAGCAACAGGGGGGGGCATTTCTAACAATGCTTGGATGGTGATGATGGTGGTAATGGTGATGATGGTGGTAATGGTGATGATGATGTTGTTGAGGAGGAGGACAAGAATGGTGATGATGTTGATGGCAATGATGAAAATGGAGAAGATGATGATGATGATATGAACAACGATGGTGAAAATGATGGCAGCGAAGACGGTGAGGCTGATGATAGTATGGATGAAGATGATGACGACGTTGGCAACGATCCGGATTGGGAGATATAAATTTACATGTTTTTTATATTTTTTCTTTTCTACTAAGGTTTTACTAAAAACTAGTCAGCCTAATAGTAGATGAAATTCGAATCATTCGATAAAACGTTATACTCCGTGTAAATAAAGATGATTTGTTATATAAATCTGTTTTTTCAATCATCTCCCTTAGCTGTTTTGGTTGTTCTCAATACGGGCCTCAATTATTTAAATTTTCATACACCACTGAGTTCATCACAAACAGTTATGGATAAGTGGACTTATGAAAATTTTTTTCTAGAATTGAGGTAATTAGATAAATAATTGAAAAGAAGAGTGATAATTTACTCGTTCAACTTCTAAAACTGGAATCAAGACAAATAATTGTGGGTGAGGTGACAGAATGTCAACTGACGAAACGTTAAATAAGCGTAGGGTTGTGAGACCGTTCTCGTTATTCTACCTTTTTTTCCGCTCTCGTCCTTCCTTTCCCATATTTCCCAAAATATCGACTACGTTTAACTCTTGATCATTGACACTTATACCACAGCTTACCTTTGGTCTGTTGCATTACCTGTTCCGCCCGTTGCTTTTGTCTTTTCAATATTATCTTCACGTCTTCTACGGCTAAACCAGGCCACACTGTGCTCCTTTGCCTTTCTACCAAAGTCCATGTTTAACTCTGACTCTTCTATCAAGCAGCACTGAGCGCATCTGCCCTTCACACAAATCTCTATATATCTGACACACTTCTGAGACCGCCCTGAGGTTGACCGCTTTTTCTTCCGAGTCGCTGCTCTACCTTCCCATCTTCTTAAACTATGCTCGCTCCGCCCTATTTTTTGAGACTCTGCTTCGACTAACTCTTTTTCCAAGTCACAATGGCCTCGTCCGCTCTCTTTTCCGAACCCAACTTCGTCTAACTCTATTTCAAATCAGCATTAGACACGTCCTCTTTTTCCGAGAACCCGCTCCGTTTAACATAATTTCTAGTTAGCAATGTGGTCGTCTGGGATCATTTCCGCGCCCTTGCTCCGTCGGACCCATTCCTAAGACCCTACTATGACCGCCTTATCTTGTCCCCAAGCCGCCTGCTGTTATTGCTCGTCGTTAACTGTCAATCCAAATTAACACTATGCTCGATTGGCCTTTTCCAGAGAAGAAATGGGCTCGACCACCTTCTTATTCGAGCCCGACTTAGCCTGACCCTTTTCCAATGCCACCCCCTGCTCGTCTAGCCTACAACTAGCGCCCTCGCTTTTATGTGCCGTTATTCCCAGTCAGCACTGCGTTTGCCTAAGCGTTTTTCCGCACCCTCACTCCGACTAACCCCTTACTAAAGCAGCACTGGGCTCCTTCGCCAATTTTTTCGAGTCCGTACTGCTTGAATCTTTTGCTAGGCCTCCCTATGTTCGACTGGCTACAATCTATGCAACCGCTACCTTTGCCATTTTTTCCATTCAGCACAACACATCTGCACTCTTTTCTGCGGACTCGGACATGGACATAGCCCTATGCTCGTCTACCCTTCTGAACGCAACCCCCCGCTCGTCCGTTCATTTTCACCCAGCCCTCAGCTTGTCTGCCCTTTTAGACATGGCGCTCTACGCGTCCGCCCTATTTCACACATTTCTGATTGTCCGTCTTATTTCGACGGATCCCTCCCACCGTCAGTCTAATTTCGACGCAGCCCTCTGCTCGTCTGCCCTTCATGACGCAGCCCTGCGCTCGTCCGTTTTATTTCGACGAATCCCTCCCACCATCCGACTAATTTCGATGCAGCCCTCTGCTCGTCTGCCCTTTATGACGCAGCCCTCCGCCCGTCTTCCCCAGTTTACACAGCCCTCTGCTCGTCTGCCCTTCATGACGCAGCCCTCCGCTCGTCCGTCTTATTTCGACGAATCCCTCCCACCGTACGACTAATTTCGATGCAGCCCTCTGCTCGTCTGCCCTTTATGACGCAGCCCTCCGCCCGTCTTCCCCAGTTTACACAGCCCTCTGCTCGTCTGTCTTATTTCGACGTCTCCCCCTCGCCGTCCGTCTAATTTCGACGTAGTTCTCGGCTCGCAAGCCCTTTTAGACGCAGCCCTTCGCGCATTTGCCTTGTTTCACACGGCCCCCCACCCGTCCGTCTCATTTCGCCTTGACTTCCGCTCGTTCGCCCCATTCCGCCCAGCCCCCAGCTCGTCTGCCCTTTTCGACATAGCCCTCTACGCGTCCGCCCTATTTCACACATTTCTGATTGTCCGTCTTATTTCGACGTCTCCCTTTCACCGTCCGTCTAATTTCGACGTAGCCCTCCGCTCGTCCGTCTTATTTCGACGAATACCTCCAACCGTCTGTCTAAATTCGACGTAGCCCTCCGCTCGTCCGTCTTATTTCAACGAATCCCTCCCACCATCCGACTAATTTCGATGCAGCCCTCTGCTCGTCTGCCCTTTATGACGCAGCCCTCCGCCCGTCTTCCCCATTTTACAGAGCCCTCCGCTCGTTTGTACAGTTTTAACATAGCTCTCTGATCGTCTACCCTTTTGGACGCAGCCCTCCACTCATTCGTCATATTGTGACCTAGGTCTCTGCTCGTCTGCCCTACATCACTGAGCCCTCCGCTCGGCTGTCCTATTCTGACGTAGCCTTCTGCCCGTCTGTCCTTCTAGACGCAGCCCTTCGTTCGTCTATACTTTTTAACGTTGCCCTCGCTAATCGGCCTTTTTGCATTTCCGCACTGGACTCATACCCCTTTATCGTAGCAACACTAGGCTCGTCCGCTCCTTTTTAGAGCAGCACTAGGCTCGTCCGCCCTCATCAGACCAGCGCTCGGTTCCTTTGACCTTTCCCGAACAGCACTGGGCTCGTCTGCTATCTTCCCAGCGCCGTTGCTTCGCTTGTCCTATTTTCAGTCATCACTGCACTCGTCTGACCTGCTTAATTAAGTCCCAGCTTCCTCCTGCCTATTTCTAAGGCCGCGCCGTGCTCGTCTTCTTTTTCTCCCCGGGTCTCTGCTATATGTGACCTTTTTCTCAGAGCTGCTTTGCGCACGTCTACCCTCTTCGCCTAAACCTCGGCATCATCAGAATTTTTACTTGAGCCTCGCTTCGTTCGCAGCTTTTCTGAGGCCGCACTGTGGTTTATTATGATCATGGAAGAGCAAAAATCTTATGACCATCGATTTCGGCTCTAACAAAATTTTGAAAGCATCATGTTTTTTCCAAAAAAAGTTTTTTCCATTGTATTTTTTGTCGTTGACCCAGAATTTAAAGTCAAATTACCAGTTTGACAGTTAGCAGTTGTCATGACAGCTGTGATAACATTTGTCTTCAAACACGCGTCCAGGAAACGCAAAAACAGTAGGGTGACTTTTTCTGTTTCCACGTATCAAATTTTGTCGAACTTTTAAGTTATCGAAACAATTTAATTTCAGATTTGTGTTCAGCGATGAAAAATACAATGGGAAACACATTTTCGAGATCGAAAAACAATTGTGGAGCTTACAATTGCCAGCGCGACCTTGCTGAAAGCGAAAAACTGAATTTCCCAGTTTTTGACTGTGAGCTCGAGAAAAAGTATCACACCGAACTTTATAATCGCAAAAATCGGTATCCTTTTTCATTCTAGGCCCTTCAAGGTACAACTTGCTGCTTTCAACATTTTTTCAGAGCCAAAATCGACGGTGATAAGATTTTTGCTCATTTTAAATTCAAAATAAACCTCAATGTGCCGCTCCGTCTGCGTCCGCAATTCTCTTAGGTCGCCCTGCGTTCGTCTGTCCTCATGCCCCCCAGCCTCATCCCCCGTTTCGTTTATTCTTCTCAAAATCCGCACCTTCGCCACATCCGCTACTCTCTCCGAGTAGCCTGGCACCTTTGACTCATTACGGATCTTCTTTCGTATGTCGGTTTTTTCAACGATGAAGTTACCATGCGGAACAGGGCAACGAGAGATTGATTTTAAAAAAAATTATGGGAATTTGTTTTTGGAATTTCTTTTCACCGAAAAGTGGTGACGACTTTTATAATTTTCAGTTTTTTATTATTGATAATTCTTAATTCAACTTAGGAAAAATTGATGTACACACATTTACGCACTTCATGAAAAGTGTTTCGCTTCTCAGACTATGACTTAAAGTTCTAATGGGTTCTACAATAATCCTAACTATTTTGATAATTGTAGCTTGCTCGTTAGATTGATAATAATATTTCAGAAATGCGCAATGTATTGTAGATCTAGTCTTCAGCATTGCGATATTTGCTTTATAATTATTATGTGCTGGAAATAATTTCATGACTAATGATCATTACTGAAATTCAAATTTCGCTTACTTGATTCGAGGCGCCGAGTTGCTGCAAGTCATCGTAGCGACAGCATTTTTGTTTACGAGCCGCCTACTTACCAAACCGCGTTTTTTCTCGGAGATTTAAAGCTTCTTCTATTATAGGCTCTATTAGAGTCTCACCCATAGTCTCAAAATCAGATGTGTTACGATTCACACGCGTGAGAAATTTTAGGATGGATTACTTGTGTGTGACTAGTGTACATCGTCTCGCACACGCGAATTGAGACTTTGTTCCAAGTGTGATGACACATCAGGAGTGAATTTTCCACATGGAAATTTTCAGCCAAGGGTTGTCAGTATTTATTTATTATTATTTTATTTATTAATCTTAAAAAAACGTATAACCAAGCCAATTGGAAACACACTGTACGCCTCTACCTATTGATCTCAATTTTCTCAAACGCAAAAAAAAGCAATGATGTAGTAACCGATCACAGCGATTTTCAGTATTAAATGAACATAATTCTTAAGTAAGACAGCGAGTTTGAATTCGACGACCACGAATACTAAATAACCTATTTCGCAAAATAGACACAAAAGCTTTCACGTGCATCATTGTTATTAGTCAATCGGTATTGAACCGTTCTTTTTATTGATAGGCGTTCAATCAATGAATACGTATATCAATATGTAGACATGGGAGCTCCGTGTTGCACGATTGGGTTGAGCACCGCTTGCAATCAGCGGCGGCGCGCGCCGC